GGTAGATATTTACTTTCCATGCTTGCATAACTGGCACACACTATAACAGCTTGCTGGTAAATTCTAATTTAATTCAGACCAACCAGTGGCCAAATGGTTTAAGACCTACGAATACTGGTAGTTCAACTGGTTTGGGTTTTATACCAAATGAACGGGCAGGCTGCAAGGTTGATGTTCACAGTTGTCTCCTTTTATAACAATATTATTACACATCAGTTTCCCTCAGAGAGTCCTCCACAAAGGCATCCTTCCAATTAAGGATAGAGCCTTTGTGGCTTTGCCATATTCAAATAACATAATTTAATTCATATGCTTAGATGCAATCCAGTATGAAATTCTGGCCCCTATACTTTAAAGAAGATTCTTTTGTTAGCTTGCCAGTAGTAATGCAACAATATCTTTTACTAAATTAATTACTTTTACCATTATTATTACTGCCTTATGATGATCTGCTGAGTAATTTCATGTCATCAACAAATATTACACCTTCTGGTACCTAATCTACTTTTTGAAAACTATTTCCACAACTGAGCAGTTATGTAGTTAATTCCAACTGATTTGTAACACATAAGTAGTGGCTTCCTTTCTTATAATTTATTTACTCACAATTTTGAAATCTCTAAAATTATTCAGATATTTTTCAATTTTATGGCATTTGTCTTAACGCAAAACAAAATATAGACATACGGAAAACTGATCAAAACATGCAAAATACACCCTGTCTATATGTTTCCAATTCAACTTTTACCGCTATTTAGAAATCTGTTACTCTGATGTGACTCTATACATTGCAGAACTGTCAACCTGTTAGTCACATGTGTCAGACTTGTCACTCAATTTCATCAGCAAATTAAACATCAGCAAATTGACATCAGTTATTAAAAGATGTGGCACCAAATTATAAACCATGCTCTAAAACGGTTTGATTTATTTAATTATGACCCCACAAAAAGGAGGCATGCCTTCTTAAAGGACATTCTAAGGGAAATTGGTTCATATTCATGTTGCACAAGGGGAAAACCATACAATGACTATGCAACCAGCTCATTTGCCTCTGATCAAACCCAGGTCAAACCACCAGCACTCGGTGATTTTACCTTTCAGCTGCTCAGCGGGCACTTGCATCATAGTAAAAATAATACTATTTTGAAGCAAATCATTTAAAAATTTGTATGTGTAGTATGTATGCAAAATTTAATATTGTGATTAACAAAAAAAGTAAATAAGGCCTTGCAGTCAAAAACTATAATTGTATATGAAGTTATATGCTTAATAGGAGGATTATACTTTTTTTTTTAAATATTTTTCAGAAATGTAAAAATTTAGCTTTAGAAATTTATTCTCAACAGATCAAATTCTCAAATTCTTTGAGATCAAATTGTCAACAGAATTTGAACAGAAGTGAAAAGGAAAGGTTAATAAATCAGGACGTCAAGAGTCAACTGACAAAAACAAAACTTACTTTCAGAAAACTACTTTTTTTTTTTTTTTTTTCCCTATAATCCGATTTAGGGAACTGTTAGTTATTTTAATCTTACAACTGAAATGTGAAACTGAATGTGTATGAGAAGCTAAATCAATATCTTCCAATTTTCAATTTCCAACTGATAAAAAATTAATAACATGGAATTTGGTAATTTAAATGTAGCAGCATATAACTCACCACTTAAATATTCAAATGCTATAAATTTTGCATAAATTGAATCAAAAAAGTATCTAGGTTTAAAAACATGCTATATTTAATAACTCCAGGTACTAAAGTATCAACAAACTTAGAAAGATTCTTTGGAAATAATTCACAAATAGTTCACTTCCAATATATCTGAATTTCGAAGCAGTGTTAAAAATACCTTTAACATTGTCAATTACTAATGTGAGTGATAAAAGAAGCTTCAGCAAATTGCAAATAATAAAATTTATATACGATCTTCATTAGATCAAGAAAACCATTCAAACATGGTCATTCTCTCTAACAGAACATGAATCTGGTAATTAAGTAGACTCAATTAATGCTACTTAATTACCAGATTCATGTTCTGTTAGAGAGAAACATGAATCTGGTAATTAAGTAAATAATGGGAAATACTGATTTTTGGGGAAAATGCTGATTTTGTTCCCCCGTCCTCCCCCAACCTTCCACTTAAGTTTTCAGACACCTTGAATTCTACAAAGGAACATGCATTTACCTCTTTGCCTCAAATGGAAAAATACCTACACACAAATCTGTTCATTTAAACAGTGGTTTCCAAGGATTTATTAACGATGCTTTCGCTGGTATTTTTTGTATCAGTTTCTACATCTGCTTTAAAATACAAAATATTTTCTATCTAAAAAATTGGAATAAAATACTAATTTTAAAAAAAGAAAAAAAAAATTAATGACCCACTTTTATTTTCAGCTAATTTGTAATAACAACAGTGAAAAGATTTGGAATATATACCACCCATTAACAATGTCACCACATATAAGCACAAAATCAATAAGCATACATAAAAACTATGCTAATATTTAAGGAGCATTCTAGGTAAATTAATAATTACGAGAGGAAAATAAGAAAAATGTTGGATACTGTGTTTAAAGATTAAAATTAGTATTTTTAAATGTACATCAAACAATAAAATACATACATGACTTACAATAATATTTAATTTCCAACTTTTAGATCACATTTTAATTTATACCCAAACAGCACGTACGTTGGTATGATATAATTTAAATTGCAAACACTAAATATGATAATAAATTATGAATCAGTACTTTTCTGTTTCGCCGGCACAAATCTCGCCAAGCACACTTTGTTGGCAACATAAAAACACAAATACACATAAACAGTATACACATAAAAAAATTTTAACAAACGTTAATTCTAAGAATTTTTTATTTTGAAGGCATAAGCATTTTAATATGGTTTAAATTTTTGTAAAAGGACAATAAATAAAGACAATAAATTTGTAAAAAGACGTTAATTTAAGAATTTACTAATGCTTTCATGGTACAACATCCTGATTCGCCAGTTCATATCACGTGCCCCCAAGTGATCTCATCTCGCATAAACTACACTACAAAAATCTAATTCTCTCAGTAATTATCTACACTAATTTCAAGTTAAATCTTAATTTGGAATACAAGTTTAAATGCAAGAATATTTCAATTCATACGAACAGCTTACTCAAAAATTATGTAAAACCACAGTGCTTTACTTCGCTAGTGCATTCTCATTAGAATTGATGAATTTAACCCTTGATTTCGCCTTCAGGTGAGCAGTATAATTGCATTCTAATTGACTTAATTACCACTAATTATCTTAAGGCATAAAAAAATTTAAATATCTTGTAAAAATTCTATGTAATTGTATGCCAGTATTGAAAGAAACAATCAATCTGATAAGAAATGGTTGCGACAACTTTTGAAAATGAGGCGTGAAACGTTACCAGCGAAGATAATCCATTTGGCATCAGTTGTAACATTATTGGTGACTTTATCGTTTGTGCCAGCAAAACGGAAAAATACCTATGAATCTTCTCTATACTATTGTGCTGAATTTTAAACTAAATGTAATCAACAAATATCTGTTACTCTAGTAAGTTACTTTAAAACAGGCCCTTCAGTCTAATTTTACCTCATAACTGGTAACGGTCTCAAGCCCAACCATGTAGTCAAACAACAGTTGCCACAGATGATCGAGTTCCCCGTTTTTTGCTCCCACTTTACTTCAATTCCGTGTATTTCACTTCATGTAAAGCACATGAATTTGAAGTACAGCCTCAAATGAAGTTGGGAAAATAAATGCTTGGTGGCAACTACATATTAGAATAAAAAATAAACGAGGATGAAAAGACATTGGAGTACCTATTTTAAAGTAACAAACTTTAGAAAACAGTTGCACATAAAAATAACATTTTAGCATACTATTTGTCATTCAGTTGCATCTAAAATTACTATTTATTCTTATAAAACTATTAAAGCATACTGCATTATTAAAAATACATAATTTTGAACTTAAAGTCTTAGTTTGAATTGTGATGATACACGATTAAAAATTACAGTCTCAAATCATTTACGATATACCCAATTAATCAAAACAGCAGGGCAAAACTCAGAATAAGAATGATGCTGTTCTAACATATCGGAGAGCAGGATGGCCTGTTTAGAGATATGCCTGTTCCAGCAGACCAGATGTTCCACAGTATTGTACACATGCATGTAACATGAAAAAAGAAGTAATCTAACAAATGTCTAGAAAGAAGTCTAACTACTCTAACTTGCTAAAGGTGGCAATATTTCTAAAATTGTAAAGTTTATGAGGTACATTTTTGGTTTGGGTAGAAGAAGAATACAGTTTAAGGGTAAAAAGAACAAAATGATAAGCAGAAAGATTTTCCATTAACCCACTGTCCAATAATAACAGTTTTGTGAAAACTGAATTCAATTCTCATAACAGATCCTTATCTTTGGCATCTTCACCCCATATCAACTCTCAAATCATGTGTGTAACCATATTTGTTCTATTGTTTGCTTATGCAACTAAATTAATTGACCAATTTTTATTACAAATCAATTGCTGAATAATTCCAAACTGAGTGCCTATTATAAGTTATTAAAGCCAGTTAAAAAAGATGATGTTTAATTACGAACATAAATCACCCATGAAATCTCACATTTATGGCACCAAGAGCTGTTACCAGTGCCAATAGTGAATTTTTAGTACAATGACGAAATTTGAAAGCAACCCTCAGTGTTCATGTTCTTTTGAATATCCAACAACTCCCCATTCTGGCTAAGTTTATTGCATTATTTTATCATGGAGCATCTATATTCTTTGTCCCCTTATACCTAAATAATTAACTGTTTCTCTAATTCTCTATGATGAGTGGATTCATATTATTCTAATACAAGCCTTGTATAATCTATTCCATTCAGAATGTGCTTATGAATTAAACCGTACAATAAAAAGAAAATAGCACTGTTTGATTACATGTATATAAAAGCAAAAGAAATACTTTTTCCTCTTTCCACTTCTGGTACTTCTGAGTATAAGAAGCTAAAATTGAAGATTTGACTTTCTCAGCAATACCAAATATGGATTCCAATTTCTGAAAGAAAATGTCATTAAAATTTAAAAATAACTTCTACTCTTAAAATGTTTTTAAAGAATATAGATATTTACTTTATGAATAACTGCATTATAATCTACAATTTTCAAAAATAAAATTAATATACATTTAGGAAAAGCAGATAATTCAAAGAAAACTGATTATATCCTGTAAACAAGAGTGCATAAAAGCTTGATTTTTTTTTTTTTTTTTTTAATTTCAATGAAGTCCCCCTCCCCCAATGGCAAGAACTTGCCTATAATGGCATTGACTACTCCTAAGGCCAGAAATGTTGGCCATTATATTGGGGAGGCACCTAATAGGCAGCCACCGCTACCTCCTATGAAGGAACAGACAATTTTACATCCATGCCTTCTCCGGGATTTCGAACTTGGTCCCTTCAGTAACGCAGTCAGGCTCCCCTCGGTATCGCAATCAGGCTTCCCTCGGTATCGCAATCAGGCTCCCCTAACCACTGCACCGACTGGGTGGCAAGTTTCAATCAAGTAAAAAATCTGAAAGCTTTCAGTTTTTATATTTCGCTCAAAAGGGCATTTTTTTCATTTACACATACATACATGTTTTGAGAGCATTTGGGTTAATGTACCTTTTGGGCTAAAAATATTTAAAAACAGCATATCTTTAGAATTTCCAACAGACAATTTCGCATGCTGGAAATAAAAATATTTTATTCTGTACAGTGTATTTTATTGCTTAATTTGAAATTGTTGAGTTTGTTAATCAAATATAAAAAATGAAATAGATAATAAAACAAATTTGAAATTCAAGCTTCGGGCTTCCAGGTGCCCATATTTGGTTGGAGGACTACATTATTCAAAATTTGATGGCTGTAGGTATTGTTTTTTTTTCACAATGCGAGAAACATACATTCATGCATATTTCTTTAAATATAATACAAGACGATAATATTTGGTGCCAACAATCTGTGAAGTGATACAACCGTTTACATATATACGTGTATAGTGAGTTGACCCAAAATGTTGTTTCAAAACTAATAGCCCTTCTGGGCTAACACCCCTTTGAACTAATAAAATATTCAAAACTGCATGAAACTTACTTTATAACAAGAGTAAATCTATTTTTAAAAATGAAAGATTTGCAATGGAATAATATTATTATACATTTCATTATTGAAATTTATTTCATTTATGACATTTACAACTTAAAATATTAAATATGAAAGAAATTAATCAGATGTTATCAATATATTTTGCAATTTTTACAGATGAAAATTAAGTTCAAAAGAAATTTTAATTTCATTTCAAAGATCTTATAAGACAATTCCAAAAATACATAAGAATATTAAAATATTCACATTATTTTATAAATAATAATCTATATTTAAGAATGATACTTAATGACAAAAATTTTGGTGCAAAAATATAAATAATGGAAATATATCTGTGCAAATTATTTCTAAATAATACCTTTCTAGTTTCAATTTTTTCAGAATCTGGCAATAATTGATATTCAGGGTGCTTTGGTACTTGCTCTATGAATAACCTGAATAGAAGTAAATGTTATCATCAATATTAAGTTTTAATTCCATTTATTATTATAAATATTAAATTCTTAATTCTAAATTAAAACATAAATAAATATTATCTTAGAATCAATTTTAAATATTAAAGGCCTCTCTCCAGTTGGCAGATAATCTTGCATGCTTTGCCTGAATTAAAATCAAACAACTAAAAAATTTATATAAAAAAAGGGTATTTTTGAATAATCCACCCAACCCCCTGCAAAGTCAGCAATCACAGGGGACTAATTTTTCACCAACCTAACATGTAAAAAACAGTAGCCTCTTAAAAAAATGGTAGCACACTGAAAATTACATAAAACAGCAATGACTTAAATTAAAAACACGGGAAACATTCATAACAAAACAGTAAAAATTACATAAAACAATCATACATAACAAGATGCTAAAAGTTTCATAAAACAGTCACAAATTAACTAAATTAAAAATGCAACAAACATCCGTAATCAAAAGCTTAACTTTCTATTTTTTCAGTCATCTTCTAATAAGTTCCAAGCTACATTTGTTCATTTGATCAGTACCCATCTCACTCTCATAGCCCCAGTATCTTCCGACAAGCTGGCATCTAAACGCCATATGGCTAACATCCCTGTCAGAGCGGCAAATAGTCTTCTACAGAGAACTGCAGAATTCTCAACATTATAGAACAAACTGGCACTGCTCTTCACATGCACATCTACTCATTTTAACATTAAAAATGTTAGGGATTGCACAAATTAGTTTAATGGAACGTGTATTTTTACATTTTCTACTAGAGGGTAAAATGTCATATTTCTGAAAAAAAACAGAATGCTCCCCCCCCAATAGCAAGAGCACAGTGGTTACAAGGAGGAAGGACTCCACACACTAATCACAATAAATAAAAATCACAAACATTAGCCTCAGATTTCAAAACTGTGTGAATTATTACCACCACAACAGAGACAGACAGTGACAAAATATGTGTGAAACCATTAATGGATTGCCAGAAAAATACATTTTCATGAAAGTCTGGGTTGCCTAGTTTGGCAACATAGTGCTTTTCCCAGAGATTCTTGTCAAAGTTGGGTTGATAATGCGATAGTACCCAAAAAAAAAAAAAAAAAAAAACTCTCTTCTACTTTAAAAATGGTACACCACTCAAAAAAAAAAAAAAAAAAAAAAAAATGAAATTTTGTAAAATTTGGAGCGAAATTTACGGAGAAATTCACAAATTTATGTTGGCACTTTTTTTTCAGTTTGCGCCAAAAATAGTTAGTTCACTTGGCCAACTTCTTAATATGTGGCAACCTAGTTTCCTTTCCTGTAAGAGAAAAAAAAGTCACCATCGTTCCTTTCTTCCAAATAATATTCTTTATATTATATTTTTAATTATAACTTATTATTTTAAGTAATTTTTCCTTTTTCGAATTTCATTTTAATTGTTTAAGTTGCATGTTGTTGTTTTTTTCTTTTTTTTCTTTTTTTTTTTTTTTTGAATAACTGTTTTTAAATTTCTATTACCTATTCGAACTGAGTAAATAAAGGTGCAGCATTTATTCATTATTTTTTTTTTTTTCAAATAGTTTCTTTATATTATTTTTGTCGTAGTTTATATTTTAGGTAATTTTTAAATTTTTATACTTTTATTTTAACTGTTTATGTTGCAATTGTCTCTTCAGATATTGTTTTAAAATTTTCTATTTATTCCTTCGAACTGAGGCATTTTAAAAATATATTTATTAATATAATTTTCCAGAATTTTATTTTATTTATTTAAATTGCGTTTCTTTCAGAAGAATACTTTGCAACCCAGACTACGATGCGTTTGAAAACTGCATATATTAAAAGAGAAAATACAGTAAAGCACAGTTAACATGCATTTCAATGTTCCGTTCAGAAAAGCTATATATAAATAAGAGAGATGTATAACTGACATTTTAACTTAGGATGACTTGCATACACTGCTTTGAACAGTTTTATCATTGTGCCCATCGCTTTACACAATTTTATCCTACATTTGGTTTCTTAAAATGTTATTCATATTTTAGTCAAATATTTTATTTTTGAAATCGCAAGAATCAAATTTCATAAGATTAAAAGGTTTCAAATTTAAAAAAAATACTAATATTTAATTTATGCAAAATTTTTTTTTTCTTCTCTTTTTCTTCAGGCATTCTACTTTATTCTTGCTTTTTTTCTTTAGGCATTCTGCAAGTATATTAAAAAGCATCCAACTTTTCGAAATATCTTGATATTTCTGACAATCATTTTAAATAAAGTTATCGCCTTCCATTTTATAAAGGCCCAGAAACGGCCGAGCGGTAAAGTCGCTGAACATTGGTAGTTTACTCCTGGGTTCGAATCCCAGTAAACTGCTGGTTGCATGGGCGTTTCGTGGCTTTTCTCATGTGTACTGTGTGTGACAGCTGGTTTCCCTTAGAAAGTTCTTCACGAAGTATTTTGTCAGAGCCTTTATCAGTCTTTAGAGGCTAAACATTTTGAAGGTATGAGGAGAAAGGAAAGACTGGTTTCATCAAGAGGTTTTGGTTTATTTAATTATGACAAAACACACTAGGGCTATCAGCCTAAAGGGAGGGATGCCTTCGTGGAGGTCTTTCTAAGGGAAACTGGCTCGCATACACGTTACACATGGGGAAAACCACGAAAATGCCCTTGCAGTCCGTTCGCAGGATTCGAACCTCGGACCGAACTACCAGTGTTCAGCGACTTTACCACTCGGCAGCTGTTTCATCAGGAGGGAACGAATGCGCCTTTAGGTGACATCCACATACAATACTGGATAAACTCCTGAATCTTCAAATAATTCGACTGAGAAAATCATGGGATTCTCCATTTATGATACGATATGATGTTCTATAACATAATTTATACAACCATATAGTCTAAAACCAGTCGCTCTTCACTTTAATCTGCAATGATATCGTTTTTGTCTTTTCAGCTTACACAAGCTCGATTGATGGTATTTGCTCGTGTACACGTCCAAGTGTTTTCTCTTTGAACGCCTAAATTTTTTGAAGTATCCTGAAAGTATATTCAAAAGCGTCCAACTTTTTAAAACATCTTGGTATGTCTGACAGCCAAATTTCCCTGCAAATGTTTGCTTACTTTTCTCCCTAATTTTCTTCTTTCCTTCTACAGTTATTTTCAGTGCTCGCACGAGAAAATTAAGATTTTTCGATTGCTAGACTTCCATAAATTTTGCATTCTTGTCAATTTTTTTAAAATATCAATTACATGAATTGCGTTTCAGCTGAAGACAGCTTTTCATTTTCTAGTCATTTTAACTATAAATAAAGTTTAAAGAGAAGTCCAAAGGATAAATATTTTAAATTAAAAGATTTTTGCTAAATGACAAAGAAATAAAACAGTCCAGCAGGGTTTATTCTGTACCACCGAGTAACCCGATTCTTATATCGGCTGAAACAATCTAAATCATATTAAGATCATGTTTTTTTATACAATCTATAACGCGAGAGAAAATTAGCTTCTTAAAAACATTCTTTCTAAGGAATTAATATAAAAGATTATATTTATATATATATTTTTTTAAGCTGGGACTTGAACCAAACTGTCAAACTTTTTAAAGTTTAATTTACATGGTGGTTATAATTAAAGTTCCAATTTGAAAATAATAAACTATCGGTCATAAAAGGAAAACTACCGGACCAAATGTTATCAAACTTGGGAATCGTGTAAAGGAGGTTATGGGAATTTATTTTCCGAGGGTGGGGGGAAAAAAAAAAAGAGTTCAAAAACTCACCATCAGGGGAAAAATGGCGCTGTATACAATATTGTTAAATGAAATAAGACATGAAAACATCTGTTTAAAATGTGTTTAATATTTTCCGAAACGTGTTACAAAGCATGTTCCATGTAGCGTTCAGCATTTTCCGAAAGCAAGTTAAATCTTGTTACTGCATTCTCAACAGCAGCTCTTAGCATATCAGGAGGAATGTTACAGACATGTCAGTGTATCACATTTTTCATTTCTGCCAAATTGTTTAGATTATCACCATAAACAGTGCTTTTGAGATAACCCCATAGCTAAAAGTCACAGAGGTTGAGGTCTGGTGGGAAGAGGGGAAGTGTTGGCCTATAAGACGTTCATTCGTGAAATGTTGCCTAAGTAACTGTGCGACACATGTGAGGTGGGGCCCAGCCCTGCATAAAAATCGTAGTATCTAAAATGCCATGTTACTGCAGTTCATGTATCACGAAACATTTTAACATTGACTCTAAGTGAGCTGCAATCACAGTGGTCCAGCTGTCGACTGCTCTTCAGAGAAAAAAGGTTCAGTTATAAAACTAGCTGTGACTCAACACTAAACAGTGTGGAATGACTGCTATGCAAACGGCAACTGCTTTGCCTACTGAAAAAATGCAGTAGGAGAATGCAATGGAACTAGATAGATAACATGAGGGATTTCTTTGGCCCAAATCGATTAAAAGCGTTTTGAATCAGTATCTTCATATATTTTAGTGCCGAATTCAGGCTTCAAAAATTACAAATTAGCGATCTGTAAGAAAACGATTTCCAGATTGTGCGCACTTGTGCGAGTGATTTGCGATCTCACATTTTCTAATCGCTAATTCGTGGTTTTCACGGACGAATTTCTCACTTACACGGATAGCACACTCGACTTTTATCGAATTTAACGCCTTTTTAAAAATGGATAATTTGCCTACTTCAAAGTTTCTTAATTAAGGGTATACAACATATTAAACCCGTGTAACAAAAGGTTAAGTTAGATTCCGACCCATATTTCGTTTAACAATATTGCATACAGCGCCATTTCCCCCCTGGTGGTGAGGTTTCGAACTTCCTTTTTTTCGCGGAAAATAAATTCCCATGACCTCCTTTACACGATTACCAAGTTTGATAACATTTGATCCAGTAGTTTTCCTTTTATGACCGTTTCAATGTGGAACTTTAATTATAACCACTCTGTATATTATTAAATTTTAATTTGAAGCTATGCGT